AGCAACTCTACAATCAACAAGTCTCCTACACCGCCTGGAGGGGAGGGGGAGTATTGTAGTGGATGTCTCCCCTACAAACTAACTGCGTAGCAGCCCACCACCTGCCATCACATTCCAATGTGCCGCCTTCCCTAGCAACCAACCAGATGTTACCGTATCTTAGCAACGAAACTATTCACCGGCTACTTCTCGGGTTTTCCCACCATGACTCATAGCGGCTGCTGCTGGGTATATAAGCTCTGTCTCTCCATTGAGATTCAGTCTGACCAATCTTCTTGAACAAGCAACACCTCCTCCTCTGCCGCTGCCTGGCGACCCTCGCCTCTCCTCCGCCTGCCTGGCGGTCCTCGCTCCCGCCAGCGAGCATGTCCTTCTCTGAGCTTCCTCACCAACCAACTCTCATTCTGCCCATTTTCCTGAACAAGCAACATCTCCTCCAGCAAGCTCCTAGCTGTCCAGCATTCATTCAACCAGGAGGCCAGCAACAGGCAACATCTTCTCTAACAAAGCTCCTGCACATCTACCTCCTTCAACAAGCTACTCACCGCACGTCTCTACCAAGCAGCCCCTCACCACACAGCATCTCCAGCACCAGACTGTCTATCATATAACTTATATATATTATATAAGAAAACCACATTAGAGTTTCCTTCCATCCTGAGTGCTAGACAACATTAATATCTCGATACCCCTTCATGCTTATTGCAAGACTGCAATCTGGTATAGATTTTGCAATACAGCTAGACGAAAGCAGATATTGCAAATTGTGCTACACTTTTAGTTTATGTCAGATACGTGTGGCAAAATGATATGTTGGAAGACTTGTTATGCTGTCTAAATTTGACATCATACACAACTGGTGCAGATGTATTTGCCGCAGTAGAAGAGTGTCTTGTTGGGAGGTATAAATTAAACTTGAAAAACTGCAAAGGGATTACAAGTGATGGTGCAGCGAATATGACCGGAAAACATAGCGGTGTTATTAAAAGATTTTTGGATGCAGCTGATAATAATGCCACTTGGAATCACTGTTTTATACACCGACAAGCTCAGGTATCAATGGGCCTTTCAGAGAATCTCAAGGAGGTATTGAAAAGTGCAGTTAAGATTGTAAATTTCATCAAAGGAAGCTCACTAAATAGTAGAATATTTGAAATATTTTGTTCAGATATTGGAGCACAATACAGACACTTACTGTATCGCACAGAAGTTCGTTGGTTGTCAAGAGGCAAGATACTTAGCAGGGTGTATGATCTTAGAACTGAGCTTCATATGTTTTTGGTAGAAAGAAATAATCCCTTGGCACTTCTTTTCGAAGATAATATTTGGATTACCAAACTGGCTTACTTGATTGATGTTTTTGGCCATATTAATGATTTAAACCTGAAGCTTCAGGGAAAAAATGCAAATGTTTTTCAACATATTGAATATATAGAAAGTTTCCAGAAAATGTTGAGAGTTTGGCAAAAAAGAATTGAAAGTGACCATTGTAGCGTACTATATGTGGCCAGTTGTCAATTCTCTTTAGTTGTCTATTATCTCTTTGTATGGGCACACAAATGTACGTACACGTAGATATCTTCACTCAGGAATGAGGTTGGATAGAAACTCACGATGCGCTTTCTGTATATATATATTGTTTGTACAGCGCAGTGCTTAGGAGTGACTAGGTGAGGAGCTGAGAGAGATGTTGCTGGTCCAGTAGCTGAGTGTAGAATGTCCTCCCTGGGCAGGCATGGCCATATTTATACAATTTACCAGGATCAGGATTTGGGGTGCGCGTAGCGAGAGGACCAATCACAGCGGCTCAAGCGTAAGGTGTGAAACGCTCTGATCCTGAACTGGAGGTTGATGGTCGAGACTAGGTCGGCGATCGTACCCCTACGTCCTCTGCATAGACCTAGTCTCTCGGCGTAGCTGGCTGTACGCTGATTGGCTGGTCGGCGTGCGGCCGGAGCTCAGTTGGAAGTTGTAGGGGAGAGGAGCCACTACACCATCCTTCCTATTATATGTTCCCAACATTGATGCAACACACAACTGAGACCAATGCCGACGACATCCTAACAGTATTAAAACCAGAGATCTTGTCATATCTTGTGTCACTATCTCAAAACTTTAATAACTATTTCCCTGAGGAGAAATTTGAACCAATGAAGAAAAGCCTTTGGATAAAAAATCCATTTGCCTTCGAAAGTCCTGAGTCAATAATTGAATTAAACTTGCTGCCTGAAGAGGAAGGTGAATTGATGCATCTCAGTTGTTCCTTCACACTTAAGAATGAGTTTGAGAAGTCAAATTTAAGCTCATTTTGGGTTAAAAACAAAGATGAATTTCCATTACTCAGTAAAAAGGCTGTTCTAGCACTATTATCTTTCACTACTACTTACTTGTGTGAAGTGGGATTTTCCACTTTAACTCAATTAAAGACTAAAGACAGAAACAGGCTCAACACTGCCCCTGATATGCTTGTAGCACTGTCTTCCTGTGTCCCTAATTGGAAACAGCTGCTTATGAACAAACAAGCACATAGATCACATTAAATCAAGCACATAGATCTTAACTGTTATTTACTTTACTTGTGTTGGGGTCTTCTTCATGTTTGATTTTCTTAAATAATATTTTTATTTTCATACAATTGGATACATATAATTCAAATATAAATGGATCATGAGAAATTTACATGAATTTTGTCGATGCTAAATAAAGGAAAATTGTGAACAGTGTTTGTCTTTGATTTACTCATTTCATATCATTACACTTAGGTTTAATGGGTCGCATTTCAAATTGTTGTTCTGGCTGTGGGTCGCAGTAAAAAAAGTTTGAAAAACACTGGATTAAATGGTCACACACTGAGACCAGGAGTGGAGCATGGTTCACGAGTATTGGTGGACCCAGTAACATCTCAATAATAGTGACAATATTTTTGTGTGTAGTTAGTACCATTTATTCAGTTACTGATATTATCTTGATGTGTGTAGTAATAGTTCTTAATTGATTTTGATAGTATTGTTTTTGAATGTTTGTGTCACTAAGTGTAACCAGAGTGATACTGTGATTTAATTCCTTTAATGCATTTAATTTTTCTTTATAATTCCGACCTCAGGTATAACGTTTGTTCCCCAGAGTAGTGTTTAAGTTAGGTTAGGAATTGTGCATCTGTTGGGGTGATATAATTTTGTTGAAAGCCCTTAAGGCTTGTTTCATGTGTGCAAGCAACATTTCTTAATACTTTAAATTTATTGTTGCCCGAGTCTCTAATAATTTCAATATCATGTATAACTTTTATTCCCCAGAGTAGTGTTTTAAGTTCAAGTTAAGAGGTGCGCATATTGGTGTACCATTATTTGATTGTGTTTGTAGTGTTGGAAGGAATAGAAGTGTTTAAATTTTACAGTGCGTCTCATTCATCCCCGTCAGACGCTATCCTTCCAGTGTGGACATCATTATTCATGCCCGACAGACTGTGCCCAGTAAGGGCACAGTCCGCCAGTCACTGTCCGATAGTGTGGACGCGACTTTAGGTGCCAGAGTTCCTCCATCTCTCCTACATGACAATGAATCCTTGGTAACACCACCTAATTCCTTGGAGCAGTTCCATTAAGACTCTAATCATTAGAGGAAACTCTAGGTCATTGTAAATATCAAATGGCAAGATCATATCCCAAACGGAGAGATTCCCGAACAAGCTGGATGCACCAGTGTTGAAACACTTGTCAAAGAGCAGTAACTCAGGATGGGCCATATGGTCCACATAGATGGGTATAGGATGCCCAAACTGTAATATGGGGAGCCACAAGAAGGCAGCTTGCAGTTTCAACACGGACCGTTCAGCCTGGCAAACATCCAACAAAACTGGCATCCATATCTTTGAATTTCATCACACCCAGTTAGCCATCCACAGGCACTGGACTCAGCAGTCTCAACTAGTTGGTCCCGTTCATATCCAGTGGTGGTTCATGTTATTAATTATATTAGGGTTACTGCAAGTTTCACATAACAGCAGAAAATGGCAAATTTTGCTTACTGTTGAGATAAATTTGGTGATGGTTTTCCTCTGGCTTTGATTTCAGTCCTTTCGTTTAATATCAACAGAGAAAAATAAATGCTTCGCAAATATTTTACTTTGTTTCCCATGATCTCAATTACAATAAAGTTGAATAAAATGATAAACCTAGATTAGGCTATGTGGTGAAAATCCTCACACCAAAGGTGCACAATCAAACTCCACACCAAACATATCAGTCACTGGGGCTACAAATACTACTGCTCCGAGTTACCCTTATGATGCTAGTACCAGATGGAAATCTAATGTACAGTTGCTATGAATGTCACTTGAATTTTTAGTGAAAATATAGTTAGTATATAATTAAAACATTCAAACTCATTCTTTTTGAAATATTGGTTATCAGTGTATATACTAATTCAGCTTCATGTGTAGATGAATCATATGCCTGGCAGTGAGTGGCAGGGGCCTGCAGCTCCTATAGATGAGCCACCACTGTTCATGCCTGTGGTTGAGTGTGCCGATTGTGGATTGGATCATCAATTACATGAAGAGACGCCGTTAAGAGAGATATGTGCGGTGGTGATCATCGTCTTGTTGATGGACACTGAAGAAAAACAAATGATATACATACCTGTGTTTATATACAATACTGTACAGTCAGGTGTCAAAAGTTCATTCTCTCCCAGACTCAAGCAGTATCGACCTTCAAATGAAATAAAACAGCAAACAACACAAGATGACAGTCAGGGCGAGTCGGTTCAGAGACTCCTTCCCGTGACTCGGCTTCACCACATGGAGTGAACTTTTGTCCGGAACTGTACACGCCACATATATACAACACATGCACAATGCCTACACAATATATACTGCACATGTACAATGCCTACACAATATATATATACTGCATATGCACAATGCCTACACAATATATACTGCACATGTTAACACACTCTTAGATACAGGAAATTGTTTTAAAGGATGAAATTGAAACAAATTAACATTCCTCCATTTAATTAACAGTTGGGCATCATCAGGCAGCAGTAAAGTAGTAACCCCCCAAATTAATTTTTTTTATACAGGCAATGGTTACAACAATAACTTGGAAGAGAACTAAATAAATATAAGAAGAAATTGGACCTCAGTACTTGCAGCTTTTAATAATATAAATTGCAGTCCTTCAATGTGGGAAAAACAGCACATGTACAATATCAAAGAAAATCTTACAGGTAGATACTGTACGACCGAATTTAACACTCGATATATTTTTTAAATTCTATAATGCCATTGACTCCAACAAAGTAAATACCTGTACTGTACATTAATATGAATACATTGTAGAATTAAGACAATCTGAACTCTGCTTTATTCCAAGACTTCATAGCATCATGCACCACTTGTTTTTTTTAATTTTTTAAGAAACAAATCTTTAAAGGGTCTTGTTTCTAAACCCAGTAGTCTAAATCTTTTAAAAATTATGGACAAATTACTGTATTCTTTTACATTTCAGATAGTAAATACCTAGTAAACAACAATACATAAATAAAATAAACAATAATAATACAGCATTTCCATACTAAATGCATATTTTGATATGGTACTTACATTGGAGAAAATAATTGCTTATAAAAAAGTACACGACTCACAGTTCAACTTCCAAGTAATAATTTACATTACCAATACCTTTTTTGCATCAGGTTTGCAAGATGAAGATCTCAATAAAAAATTAACAAGTTAAACAAAAGTCAACAAATACATGAGAAAACATTTTCAGTTCATCTTGCTAGCCATGTCTGGGAATTTTGGTGAAGGGGCACACTAGAAAAAATAAAATAAAATTGCGTGTTGTCTAAGCCATGATGCAAACAATGTAATGAAAATCCGATTATTCACACTGGTGCTCTAAGTTTAGTTAACATCCCTCCAACTGACCCATATAGCATAGCTCTGTAGAGCAATACGGTTTACACAATGCTCCTATGAGCAGCAATGCATCGGCACAATCTACATAAAGATAACACTAAGTGACTATCCTCCACGGAAGTTTACAACATTGGTGTTTATGAGGATAGTAGGACTTGAGCTTTAAACTGCTACATCTGGGGAGGATGGTTTGTGTGCTTGGGACCTCGGACTAGGCATAGCAGGGGTCATTGACACTGGTGCTTGAATTTCCATTCCCTTTGCAATACAGCTTCCTGAACTCAATTTACTCCCAAAACTTCCAAAGAAGCAAATATATTGCAAAGGAAACAAAAAACAGGGCTACTGGCACATGTAAATGTAGCCTACACCTTGTACAACCTTCTGCATTTACATCATACCAATCAACCCACAAAATTGATTGACATTTGGACAACTTGATTTGACATATATAAAGCATTTGTGCGTCTAAAGAACATTAACCATACTTTTAAGGTGACGAGTTAATAAAATTAATAATAAGACTACAGACTTTATGAGTTTAAAAGTTTTATCAGTCTTTACCTGATAAATAACAGTACAACTCCTAAAGTCTGACCGCTTTACTACAAAATTTATACAGCCATACTTTGTGGAAAAAGGCCTTAAGTCTGACACATTCCATAAAATAATTAAAATAGAGTATTAGTACAATCACATGACAACTACAAAATATAACTTTTCCAAAGTTGTACCCACACGTCAACCTACAATGTCACAATGACCAAAGCACAAAAATGTTCTCTTTCCAGTTCTTCCAAGTCACAGAAGCTAAACTAGTGCATTTCTCTAACAGAATATTCTCAACATCAAGGAAATTCAAGGTTTTCAGTAGATAGCATTTATCTAATTACAGTATTTTATAAGAGAGCGGAGTAAAATTTCCAAGTAACACAAGGGACACAAGTCATTACAACTATACTGTACAAAAATAGGTACATGTATTACGATTCCAAACAAATAGTGTGGCCACATTTTATCAGCAATCTAAATGCTTCACCACAGTTTTTACCAAACAATATTATCAAGGAGATTTTATCTAATAATTATGGAATGAATGACATGACTAGTTTTTATGTATGCAGATGATTAACCTTCATTATGCTGTTTACACCACTTATCTTGTAAACTTCTGTACCCCATGCAAATAAAGTGCATGAATTTTATTTGCATGGGCCCCATTTATATAAATACTATTTGAGCACCAATGACAAACCTTGGACTTCCTGTGTGCCTTAAGAATAGATCTTCTGCATCTCTGATACCACACCTACACTAAATAGTGTGGCTTTTATAGAAGATTCCTGGCAATTATTTTACAAAGCATAAGTAACTTTCAATAAGTTTACTTTTCAATCTTAAAAGCAAAAAAAAAAATTTGTTTTAATTATTGTGGGAAACTAAGAATCGGCTCAATATTACGCACCAACTGAGACTGGAGAAAACCCATGTGACGTAACACTGTAGGTTAGGAATGTTGCATTTTACTTCCTTAAATTGTTCAAAATTCTTAAACAACACTTTACACAAGTACTCTCTTCTCCTTTCAACAATGTGAGAATAATCTGGTTTACTTTTCCAAACCATTTTTTTCTCCATACAAACCAAAAAGTTCTGTAGGGTAGCAACTAAATTAAAGATACACCTGAGTTATGAAGAGAAAATCACCTTAACACTGGGAGAAACATTTGTGATGTGCAACAAGCTCACAAGTGAATTTCATTTGCTATTCACTAAAACTTATATTTCATAAATTTCAAATGATAACATTTTTGAATTCTCAGTTATCTTCAACCAAGTCTTCTATTATGAGGCTGGGTAGGATAAGTATAGAAAAATAAAATAAAACCATAATTCAACTGCATCTCCATAATTTAAAATACAACAATTTAAGGAATTTCCCCCAAAATATAGAACTTTTGAATGACAAAGGAGCTATCTTTAGTTTTACTCCAAGTTAAACCTATTAATAAAGTCTATCTTATTATATTCCCCAGAAATAGAAAATCTTCTCTACAGGCAGTCAATGGTCACTTTGTGTTACCCCCATAATTGTAATATCAGGTTTAATGGACAATAGTCGAATTATACAAAAAATTTACCCTTCATATACAGTACAGTACAGTACAAGCAAATTTCTAGGTGAAGAATAACCATTATACGTATATCTCTCTCTGATGGTAATGTTACTATATTAACAAAGTTCTCTACCAAAAAAACAGTACTGTATTAGAGAAATGATTGACGATTGTGGAAAAGCCCCCACATTAAATGCTGTAAATTACTTACAAAAAATAATAATATGAACATGTGTCCGTTTCAAATATTGGTACTGTACAAACACGAGTGAGAGAATTCCCGACTGACCACTGAATATACATACTTCGTTCTTCGAGACATTACCACAAAATAAGTTTAGCAATAAATAAAATACTGATTGACATTCCTCATACACTTTGACTAAGAGTTGAGAATACTGAACAGATCAGTGATCAAACTGACTGTTTTACTTTAATATAAATCAAAAATATTTTGTGCAAATACAAGTTCATACATGTTATCTATTTGAAGAGAAAAATACAACTAAGAATAGCAGGTCATCATTCACAGAAATACACTGAAGTTACTGACATACACAACCCAAGGGCACTGAAGTTGTTGACATACACAACCAAAGTACACTTACGGCAAGTTGTTGATGTACACAACCGAAGTACACTAAAGTTGCTGATGTACACAACCAAGGTACACAGGTCTTGACTTACACAACCCAAGAACACTGAAGTTAATGACATACACAACCAAAGAAATACAAGTTACTTTGAAGGGGAATGCAATTCAAGAGATCTCAGGATGGAATAGGGGCAATAAGTCTGGAATGTCTCAGGAAAGTGCGCTTTTAAAAGATATGTCTAACCCATCCATGTTGCACTGCAAGACCAGGCAAGCTCTTTTCAGCCTTACAAATTATCATTTGGTTCATGTGGGATATGGCAAAATATTCATCTGTGCTTCTGAAGAACCCACCAGTCACTGTCACTAACCTAGCAACAGGGTTCAAAATTAACCCATTTAACAATGTACAGAACACATTATTGTATATTTTATGCTGTTGGAGTTTGTTACATTTTTCATTATGCTGAGTGAACATAAAGTTCATGTACCGGTACATAATAATATATGCTATAAACCCAGACGTCGCCGGTTCTCCAGTTCCATGGAACACTGTGAAATGTTAATATAGATATCCCACTATAGTGCTGTATTCTTTGTTCTATCCAACTGGTTTTTAACATTACAGTACAGTACTGTTAAGTGTTTACCTTACAAAGATTATCTTTCTGTCAACATTGCCATTTCTTTATTGGAAGTAATTTAAAGATCTACCGAAACATCAAATGGTACTGATCTTCTTGTTAAGTATCCTAATGCAGAGAATTCATTTTCCTTTTTGTTCCATTGCAACAACAGTAAATCTGATGAATAACTCATCTATAAACAGTAGCAATTTCTCTTGACTGATATAGGATATTTTTTAATGACTAGTCATTGGATGGATGACAATACAGACTGTACCACTACCTAAGGATACCTAACAAACAGTAGATACTCTCCCACACATGTCATTAACATCAAACTTAACACCAGATACTGCAGCTATCCACTGTCACCCACCAATTGCTAGACACACGGAAGTAAAGAATTATGTCACAGGAAACTTTACACCCATAAAACTGGATAGAGAAGTCAAGTTAACTGGAAAAATTCAAAGACTCGATTCCCAGTGTTCGAGTTTGATAAAGGTAACCTAAATTTGTTTTAACTAGTATTTGTAAATTCTGAAAAAGGTTGTATAAGCAATTCCTTAGACAAAAACATTTAATAAAAAAATTATCTGCCGAGATAGCACTCAAGATCTGCTGATCATATCTAGATACCACCAGTAAGGTACAGGTAGAGTGGAACCAGATGGAACAGCTATGGCATACTTGGTGGAAATCAACCTTGTAGTCTGACAAAAAATTATTTTGTTACAAAATCAATGTTTTGCGATAAATTGTTTAGCTATTATCATTAGAACTCTTGTTAATCCAGTTATTTGTTTTTTAATTTTATTCCAGTTTTCCCTTGCTACTTTTACCTTCATAAGCCAAAGATTCCTGGCCCTTCTTGGCTGGCTGAGCTCCCACTTGCTTGGGATTTACTACATAGGCCCGGCGGAAGAAGCGTGCAAAGAGGACAAAGTAGGACGTATACATAAGGAGAGAGATTTTAATGTTGTCATATGAAACATGACACTCATTACCAGCTTGCTTCACTTGGTAAGCCCAGATATTGACAGCAGCACCCATAATCATCTGAGCCAGCTGAGCGGTGGTAATGCTCATTGCAACCCATCGTGGCACACGGAATTTAAGGGCCTTGAGAGCATAGTAGCTGTACATGACACTGTGCACCAGGTAGTTCATACAGACGAACCAACGGGCAGTGGCGATGTAGTCAGAGTAGGAGTACCAAGCGTAGAGGAGGACGGTGACGTGGTGGTACCAGTGCAGGAAGATTAGGGGCTGTTTCCTCAGCACGATGAACACTGTGTCGCCCAGCTCAGGAACCTTGCTCAGCGTAAACATCCAATTCCAGAAGCCCCCCACGCGATTATCCAGGAAGCTGAAAGGCAAAATGTACATTACAATCTGTTCTACTGAATTTTAAGGCTAAATGTACAATTGCTACAGAAAGTATCTGCAAGGTGGGGTCCAATGGATGTCAAAAGAACAACATGACTCCTGTTGTTTTGGTAGGGTTTTCAACTCAAAATACTTCGTCCATTGTAACATACTGTATTGTCTAGCAAAATTTTTTGCAGATATTTTTGTAGCAAGCGTACATCATAAGCTAATTACATATAAATTACAAACCTGTCTTATGCATAATTAAAGACAAATGTCCATCAGTAATTTATGACAAGTTTACCTGAAGTATGAGACAGCCTACAAACAGTACAAAACAATCTGATACTTAAAATTAACTTAGAACACCTAATAACACATGTAATATTGTAATAGGTCTTGTTGGCCTTGGTCAAGAAAGAAGTGTACCTTGAAGTTATAATTTATATTAAATAAATTTCTTGAACACTGATATTAACTATGGACATGCCATGAGTTTCAAGCCACGTAATAAATATCAATTCATTTAAAACCTTACCACTATGTATAAATAAGGACATTCATAAACATATACAGGTACAGTTGCCAGCAAAAGTTCTCCCACAGCCCAGTGTAGCAAGTTTGTGGGAGGACTTGTGCTGGCAACTGTACCTGTATGCGAATTTATGTGCGTAGTGGCTAATGGCCTACTGTATGTAAGATTCATCCATTGTTGTTAATATTTCAGCTAATAGACTGGTCTATAAATGTCTACTATGCACCCTCTATAAGAAGTATTATTCTTTTTTTTTTTCATTCTGTATGACACCTTGAAAAATTTATCTGGGTCTACATATTTCATCCGTTTTAGGATTTTGTATGTCTTGAGGTCCACCCAGTCATGTCGGTCTACTGTACAGTACAGTACTTTGATAATTGAGACAATATAGTTCAGGAATAATTGAAATCACACTGCAGTGTACCATTGTCCAGTAGTGCACCCAGAAATTTTGTAAGGGGGGGGGGGGGCCTGGAGGCCATGGACGTACCCAGAAATTCGTCAAGGAGGGACCGAAATTGCGTGGCCGAAGGCCGAGCTAGCGGGATTTTTTAAGCAATTTGGTGAAAGCCGAGACCCAATAAATTGTTTTATACAGTATAAAAGCCAGCAAAAAATTCTGCAAATAATCGGAGCTTTAAATAATTTTGGGTCAAAATATAATACAGGTTGTACCTCTCTAGTCCGGCAACCTCGGGACCTGACCGAAGCCGGACCATGGAAATTCACCATTTTCCTGGATAGATAGTGACTTGTGCTTATGCCTGGAAGCACTAGCACCACTTTCTTTGCATCATGGTCTCTTTTAAGACATAATAATAATAATAATAATAATAATAATTAACGGTTTATTGAAAGAGCTTGGCAGCCAGAAGGCTGAAAATATACAGTTGAAGGGTTAAATGTCGTATAGTAGCTTCTCAAATTTCGCGAGTTTTTAATTCAACGTATTTTATTGGAACACCAAAAAAAAAAAAAAAAAATTTGACGGCGGAAACTTGAATTTCGACGGGTTTGAACGGTCCACAAACGTGCAGACGACGTGCATAATCGTGTAAATAGCGTCATTTCTCTTATGTACAAAAGATTCATTATTGTTTATTACTGAATGCCTTTTTATTGAATTAATGTTTGTGTGTGCAAAATGAGCAATACAATTCATTAATAATACGTAGAATATTAAAACACACGAGGAAATGACACAGCATTGTTTTCGTTGATTACAAAACCAGTGACTGACTGGTTCTACATATAAAACTGAAGAAAATAAGACTTTGGTTGTAGCTGTAGTAAAATTAATATGGTTGTTTTAAGTAATGTTATTTAATGTTAATAAATGGAACAATAGAAGTAGCTAACGATAATGGCAAAGAAAAAAGAGAGATCGCGTATGTAAGTGCGCACATGTGAAAACATATCGTCATTACTTTACATAAGAATATGAAAGCAACACTTATTTACTGTTCATATATATTTTAATTAATGTTTCTGAATTTGTTTTTATTGAATTAATGTTTGTGTGTGCAAAATTAACAATACAATTTATTAATAATACGTGGAATATTAAAACACACGAGAAGACGAGACGGCTGCCGGCATTGTTTATGTTAAAGCTTACAAAACCAGTGACTGATAGGTGCTACATATAAAACTGAAGAAAATAAGACCCTGATTGTAGCTGTAGTAAAATTAGTGTAAAAAAAATAATATGGTTGTTTGAAGTACCTGTAATGTTATTTAATGTTAATAAATGGAACAATATAATTAGCTAACCATTAATGGTAAAAAAAAGTGAGACTGATCATATGTAAGTGTGCACATGTGAACACATATCGTCATTACTCTACATAAGAATATGAAAGCAACACTTATTTACTGCTCAAATATATTGAAGGGTTAAATGTTGTACTCTGTATAGACAAGCGCGCGCACAGACAGACAGACAGACAGACAGAGAGAGAGAGAGAGAGAGAGAGAGAGAGAGAGAGAGAGAGAGAGAGAGAGAGAGAGGTTTAAAAAAAAAAAATTGCCTATCTACCTACTGGACAAACTAAAATCGTTCCGGACCACGGGAGTTTCCGGACTAGAGGTACAACCTGTACTGTACTGTACTGTACTGTATTTGATTATTTTAGATTAAAAAAACAACAACATATTTTCTTAGATAAACTGATTACAATTGGATTCCAGCATCTGACTGTGGGCTTAAGGGGGAGGGCAGCCCATGGGCCCACCCCTTGGGTGCGCTAGTGCCTTTGTCAGTCACAATTGAATGGCTAGTATTCATACCGACTCTTCATTATTCATATTATGCTCTACCGTCAACAAAACATGTGGAACTAAAGAGTTGCTCCTAGAGAGAGACTTGTTTTCCCTAGCGAGAGGTACCATCCATTTTCTCTCTCTGCCGGAAGTGTCCTCCTGTAATGTAAATTTTAAGTTATGCTGTAACCTGTATGAGTAGCCTACCCATGAGCTGAAGCATTCAAGGTGTATTGAGTAAATGTTGAAAGAGTCATCTATCTTTGTGTGAAATGTAAATTGTGTTAAAACTATGTGTGTTGAGTGTCGAACAACCAGCTTTAATCAATTGGGGTTTCTCAGGAATTCTGGGGTAGCAAATCAAAACTGAATTATTATTTCCTCGAGTTACAGACCTCAGAGAATCTCGTGAGTGTATTGAAATTGTTGTCAGTTTTGTATTTTAGATTCTCATTTATTTTGTTAGCATAACCTGTCAACTCTCAAAAAAAACTTTAGAAGTGTAACTCATACTCTTGGGAAGAATGGATGTTGTGGGCAGGAGCTCCACCCACAATGTGATTGCCAGCCTGGGCACTTGACATTATGTTAATTCTTGCACTGCACAGTTTGAACATTGATTAGATTCTAAAAGTTAATCTTAGAAAATTAATATAAGCCCATAGTACTAATTTTCACAAGCGTATGTGTACTGTAACGGAGACTGATAAATATGTCAAATTCATAACTAAGTAATTCAGGGTGCATAAAAGATCATGCGGAGACTGAATCGGTCACTCTGAATCCCATCCCCCGTCACCCATGTACTGTATGTTGCTCTGTGTCTCACCGTCATATAAAGTGAATTCGATTTAGTTGAATTGTGTTGAATATGACAGTGTTCCTGTTAATGTAATTAAGGCCCCCCCGCATCGTAAGGGTAACTCCCGACCACCCAGGGCGAAACCCGTTTTTTGTTGGAAGTACTATTTAGGCCTAGCTCTATACGATGGTAGTGAAGAAGATCTCCTTATTAGACTGTAAATAAAGTTGAAAGCCCTTTGAAAATAGGGTGGAACATCAATTTGTGGCAGTGAGTGAGTGAGGAGCGAGCAGCCAATCACAGCAGCCGACTCGCAGCCTCCTCCTCTCGGTGACAGTGAGCGTCTGCTATCTACATCACGGCCTCCACAATGAGTGGAAACCCTCTCTCCCTCTCCCGCAGTTCTCTTTTGTTGTGGTGGGATCTACACTCTGATATCAATTAAAGTAAAAAAAAAGCCATAAGCGAGTGGGAGTTTTGTTGCTTCAAGTCAACATTGCAACAACCAATACATTACTTCATGACATGGTACCAATTTGCAAGTACAGTCCTTTAGCTTCAAAAATGCATCCAAAATGCATGCTGTATCTCAAAAAAACAACAAAGTTGTGCTTGCTAGAAATTGAAAAAATTTTCGCGATTTTCTCAGCTTTCAAATTTTGGCGCAAGTTCTATACGATGCAGGGGGCCTCAATTGAAGTCTTGTGTGTTAACATAACTGTGTCCACGTATTATCTATTTCCTTGCACAAGATGTGTTTTGTGTCATTTGCATTTTGATTTCATCCATTATGAACGCCCTTCCCCTCATCAACCACGCACTGTGTGGATTGCTGGAGCTGCCGGGAGGCAGTGGCCGATAGGATGTCTTTAATTCATCAGGATTAAGATCTTGAGTTGATGGGCCGATGAAAGTGGCAGTGTCCGGGAGGCATGGGTCGAACCCAGGATGAGGTGGAACTTAGCTGCCATGTATCGAGATGCAAATGTCGGCGAGTTTTGAAAATACACACATGGCGTTCTTGGTGCAAGCGTGAGTGGGGTAACATTTTGTATGTATCCATAATTGTTGTCTGAGGTATCTGACTTCCATCTAGTAAATGAATACCATGTAGTATCCTGTGATCTGAGTTGTGTAAAAAAGTATGAAATTGATAATAGGCAAGAGGTAAGGTTGTATCACTGACTATTGGAGTGATGATAACTATGTGTTGTGAGTAATAATAATTACTGTACACGAACAATCTTGTGAAGAGTGTTTGAGAAGTGTTATGAAGTGTTAGAATAATGTGAGTGAAGTCACGGATGACCAGTCCTTGTTGTGTCACGGGCATAGAATGTTACCAAGTAAAAATAGCTAAAACAACTATCTGTGCATACTTTGTGGGAAACAATAG